CAACAGATGTAAACTGACGCGTTTCGATTAAAACTTCATCAAAATTAAATCAAACGCGTTAGTCAGATGTGCAGATTCATTTTCATTTAAGTCTGCGTCTCCTTTCATTTCATTAAGATTTTTTTTTTTTATTATAAAATAAACTGATTAGAGAAGAGTGAATGAGAACGATGAACAATGAGAACAGTGATGGTAGTGATGCTCATGAGGATGAGGATAATGATAATGACTGTGTAATGAAGATGATGATGACAGTAATGATGATGATGGTAATGCTAATGATGATGTAATAATGATGATGACAGTAATGATGATAATGATATTGGGAATGATGATAATGATAATAACAATGATGATAATGATAATGATGATAATGATAATGGGAACGATGATAATGATGATGATAATGATAATGGGCATGATGATAATGATAATGACTGTGTATATGTATATATATATATATATATATATATATATATATATATATATATATATATATATATATATATATATATATATATATACATATATATATATATATATATATATATATATATATATATATATATATATATATATATATATATATATGTATATATATATATATATATATATATATATATATATATATATATATATATATATATATATATATATATATATATATATATATATATATATATATATATATATATATATATATATATATATATATATATATATATATATATATATATATATATATATATATATATATATATATATATATATATATATATATATATATATATATATATATATATATATATATATATATATATATATATATATATATATATATATATATATATATATATATATATATATATATATATATATATATATATATATATATATATATATATATATATATATATATATATATATATATATATATATATATATATATATATATATATATATATATATATATATATATATATATATATATATATATATATATATATATATATATATATATATATATATATATATATATATATATATATATATATATATATATATATATATATATATATATATATATATATATATATATATATATATATATATATATATATATATATATATATATATATATATATATATATATATATATATATATATATATATATATATATATATATATATATATATATATATATATATATATATATATATATATATATATATATATATATATATATATATATATATATATATATATATATATATATATATATATATATATATATATATATATATATATATATATATATATATATATATATATATATATATATATATATATATATATATATATATATATATATATATATATATATATATATATATATATATATATATATATATATATATATATATATATATATATATATATATATATATATATATATATATATATATATATATATATATATATATATATATATATATATATATATATATATATATATATATATATATATATATATATATATATATATATATATATATATATATATATATATATATATATATATATATATATATATATATATATATATATATATATATATATATATATATATATATATATATATATATATATATATATATATATATATATATATATATATATATATATATATATATATATATATATATATATATATATATATATATATATATATATATATATATATATATATATATATATATATATATATATATATATATATATATATATATATATATATATATATATATATATATATATATATATATATATATATATATATATATATATATATATATATATATATATATATATATATATATATATATATATATATATATATATATATATATATATATATATATATATATATATATATATATATATATATATATATATATATATATATATATATATATATATATATATATATATATATATATATATATATATATATATATATATATATATATATATATATATATATATATATATATATATATATATATATATATATATATATATATATATATATATATATATATATATATATATATATATATATATATATATATATATATATATATATATATATATATATATATATATATATATATATATATATATATATATATATATATATATATATATATATATATATATTAATAAAATAAAAGAATATTAACAATAGTGCTACTAAGAAAAGACTAAAAAAAAAAAAAAAACACAGATAACACGTCACACAGATCACAGCGTCTCGTGACCTAAAATCCTAAAAGCCGAAATACCTCAAAACCTAAAAACCTGCAAAATGTTGCTATCGGTTGCAAACATCACCGTCTAGTGAGCATGCTTCGGGGTGAAGATTGTTTGCGCGTTTTATGCAACTGGTGTAAACTGTGTAGACCTGGATGGGATACGGACCTAAAACTTCATGTCAGTTTGGGAAAATAATTTTTTGGTGCCCTTATTAATCTTCCGGTTTTTTCTTGTTTTTTTTTTTTTCTTGTTCTCTGTCTGTCTATCTGGATGTCTATTTTTGTTTGTTTGTTTACGGATTGGATGATCTGTTTTTTTTTCCATTTATTTTCCTTTACTTTTTTCTTTTCTCTCTCTCTATCTATCTATCTATTTATCTATATTCCTATCTATCTATCTATTTACGGACTGACTAATCTGTTTCTTCTCTCCCTCTCTCTTTCTCTCTCTCTCTCTCTTTCTTTCTCTCTCTCTCTCTCTCTCTCTCTCTCTCTCTCTCTCTCTCTCTCTCTCTCTCTCTCTCTCTCTCTCTCTCTCTCTCTTTCTCTCTCTCTCTCTCGAAGACAAAAAAAAATGAAAGAAAGAAAATTAAAAAGTAATTAAGTCACCAAGAGGTCAAATCCCCCGATGTCTGAGTGACCTTATCTCTGCGTCACCAAAGGTCACCGGAATGAAGCAGAGCGACAGAAAACATGATTACAGGAAAAAATCAGGGACAAGAAAATGCTATTGTGTACACACACACACAGATACATATATATATATATATATATATATATATATATATATATATATATATATATATATATATATATATATATATATATATACTTATTACAAACTCACACACACATAAACTCGTAGTCATCACTTCATCGTAGGAGAGTGACTCACCGTGAATACAGATGGAGAAAGAACCGTGACTCATGGCTAGAGAGGGAAGTTTACTCACCGTGAATGCAGAACGGAAAATAAACTTACTCACTGGAGTAAAAATGAATATATTCGCAATGTATTAGAAATGGAAAATGATGATAATAATAATAATAATAATAATGATATTAATAACAAAACAGTAACAATAATGATAATGATAACAATGATGAGAATAATGTTAATGATAATAATTATGCTAATGATAATAATAGAATAATGATAAGGATGATGATATTAATATTAGTCGTGATAATAATAATGATAATGATGATGATATAAGTAATAATAATAATGACCAGAATGATAATAGTAAAAATAATAATAATGATAATAATAATAATAATAATAATAATAATAATAATAATAATAATAATAATAATAATAATAATAATAATAATAATAATAATAACAATAATAATGATAATAATAATAATAATAATAATAATAATAATAATAATAATAATGATGATGATGATAATGATAGCAATAATAATGATAAAAAATAATAATAAAACAATAATGATAATAATAATGATAATAATAATGATGATACCAAGAATAATGATAATATGAATAATGATGGTAAAATGATAATAGTAATAATAATATCAATAGTAGCAATAGTTATAAGAGTGATAATTATAATGATAATAATAACAATAGTAATAAAGAGCATAATAATAGTAATAATAATCATAATGATAATGATAACAGTAATAATAATAATAATGATAATAATAATAATAATAATAATAATAATAATAATAATGATAGTAATAATAATAATAATAAAAATAATAATAATAATAATAATAATAATAATGATAATAATAATGATAATGATAATAATGACGATGATGATGAATTAATGAACAAATATTTAAAAACTTCCCTCATGAGAGCTCGAAAAGGAAATCACTCACCTTGAACGAAAACTAAAGAAATCTGGAACTTAATATATCCATCGTGAATCAGAAATGCATAAGGAAGTGAGTCACTGGAGGATGATCTTCCTCATAACGAATAAAAAAAAAGGTAGTTGGGAATTTTTTTTTTTTTTTTTGTTATTCGAGAGGAGAATTGAATAGACAAATAGGTAGGTAGATAGATAGATAGACAGGTAGGTAGATAGGCAGATAGATAGATAGATAATTAGGCAGGTAATTAATAGATAGTTGACAGGAAGACCGATAAACAGACATACAAATAGATAGACAGAAAAACAAACAAACGAATAAATGAATAACCAGAACCCCCCCTCCAGACACTCCCCCCCCTAAAAGACACCTGACTCACCGTATGGTACACCTAACTGACTCACCGTAGGACACACCCGACTGACTCACCGTATGGCAAACCTGACTCACTCACCGTACGACACACCCGACTGACTCACCCAACGACACACCCGACTGACTCACCGTATGTCAAACCTGACTCACCGTATGGCAAACCTGACACACCCGACTGACTTACCGTACGACACACCCGACTGACTCACCGTACGACACACCCGACTGACTCACCGTACGACACACCCGACTGACTCACCGTACGACACACCCGACTGACTCACCGTACGACACACCCGACTGACTCACCGTATGGCAAACCCGACTGACTCACCGTACGACACACCCGACTGACTCACCGTACGACACACCCGACTGACTCACCGTACGACACACCCGACTGACTCACCGTATGGCAAACCCGACTCACCGTACGACACACCCGACTGACTCACCGTATGGCACACCTGCGACAGATGCGCATGAACGAGGACGTAGAGCGCGTGCTCCCAAGATTCCTTCAGTTGCTGCCCGCCGAGGAGCTTGGAGGCGGCGTAAGGAACGTACTCGAGGACGACCATCAAGTCCGCTACAGCTAGGCCTACGAGGATGAGGTTGGTGGGCGTGGCCATGTTCTTGCGGGTGAGGGTCGTCATGGTGAGGATGTTGGCCACGGCGCCGAAGAGAGCGATGCACAGGGCCAGTCTCGAGTGCCAGCCGCTGTACCAGTCCACGAAGTCTGTGTGGGAGGGAGGAGAGAGGGGGGGAGGGGGGTTAGTTATTGTTCTAGTTGTTGTTGTTAGTTGTTGTCGTTGTTGTTATGATGGTTGTAGTATTGGACCTTGTCACTAGGTGGGCAAGTTAGCCAAAGTCAGTGCCGGTCTTAAGTCCGGGTAAATATAGAGGGTTGGTGTCAGGAAGGGCATCCGGCCGTAAAAAAAAAGAAGCAAAAAATATAGCAACCCCATACAGACAAAGCAACACAAAAAAAAATGATTGTAATAGTAATAGTAGTAGTAGTAATAGTAAAAATAGTAGTTACAGCGGTAGTGGTATAAGTAGTAATAGTAGTAGTAGTAGTAAATGTAACATAAATAGTAAAAGTAGTAGTTGTAGCAGTAATAAACTTAGTAGTAATAGCAGTAGTGTCGGAATGAAAGTAGCAAAAGTATTAGTTGTAGTAGTAGTAGTAAATGTTGTATTGACAGCAGTAGAAATAATGCCAGTATAGGTAGTACTAAGAGTGGTAGTTGTAGCAGTAGTAGTAAAACTAGTATTAGTAGTTGTTGTAGTAGTAGAAGTAGTAGTAAAAATGATAACAATAGAAGCAGTAGTAGGATTAGTAGTCATGGGAATAGTAGTTGTAGCAGTATTAGTAAAAGTAGCAGTACATTAATTGTAGCAACAGTAGAAGAGGTAGAAGAAGTTGCAGAAGTAGTAATAGCAGCAGTGATTGCAATAATAGTAATAATAGTAGGTAACTGTAATAGTGATAGTATTAGTAAAATTGGTACTAGTAGAAGTAGAAATAGCAGTAGTAGTAATAGTAATAGTAGTAGTAGTAATAGTAGCAATAGTAGTAGTAATTGTAGCAGTAGCAATGATGGTAATAGTAGTAGCAGTACTAATAGTAATAATATTAGTAGCAGTACTATTAGTAACAGTTATAACAGTAATAGTAGCAGCTGTAGTAATATTGGTAGTTACAAAAGTAGTAGTAGTGATAGTATTAACACAAGTAGCAATAGTAGTTGTAGTAGTAATAATAGCAACCATTGTAGCAATAGCAGTAGTAGTAATAGAAATAACAGTAGTAGCAGAAGTAGTTATAGTCGTGGTGGTAGTATAAGTAATAGTAGTAGTAATAAAAGTAGTTCTGCCTGTTAATATCACTGTCATTATTATAGCAATATTAATATTAATAGTATCGTTGTT